GGTCTGGTGGAGGAGACAGAAATGCATGGAACAATCACAGGATCACTGCACTGCAGACAAGAACTAATATGTGTCTAAAATGGGAGGACATGACCTAATAAGGGAGGTCCAGTGGGCCTTCCCAGGAAAGGAACACTTGAGCTCAGGTATGATTAATGATGATAAAGAGTCAATGAAGAGAAAAGAGGCAAGAAGAACATTCTAGACAGAGGGGAATGAGGAGCCTGGACAGGTGAAAGGCGGCCAATGTGGATGCAGCAGAGACCAAGGAGAAGCTTGCAATGAGCTGCAGCTAGAGAGACAGGTAAGGGCTGGCACAGATCCCTGTGGTCATGCTAAGGAGATTCACCTTTAGCCCAAGAACAGTGGGAAGGGACTGAAGGATAACAACATGATCTGATCTGTATTTTGACTGCAGTGGGGAGACGAGATTAGAGTAATTCATAGTGGAAGGAGATAAAACAATTCGGAGGCTGCTGCAGTGGTCTAGGTAAAAGACTATGGCAGCTTGGGTCAGATAGTGATGATGAAAATGAATATTTAGAAGATTCAAGTTGACCAGACGAAGTTTCAGTACTGTGCTAGGTGTGTGCACGTACGTACTAACTGTTGTTATTCTCACAACCAACCTGTAATTTGGGTATTCTTTTCCACATTATATAGATGAGAATATTGAAGCATGTAGAAATTTGTCCAAACTCTAGGTAGTAAATAACAAAACCAGAACCCAAACCCATGGTTATTCAACTTTGAAGCCAACTACAAAATTATTGTCACACAAAGGATCTCCATAGTGAAGTTTCAAAACTTCAAAGCTTCTTGATGTATGTTATCAAGGTATCAAGCAGGCCCTGAAGAAGGACATGGCCGTAGTTTTCCGCTTAATAAAATGAATACTCTTTCGAAGTTTTAGACATGAAAGACGCGTGGTGGAGCCGTACCTATTTCAACATAGCGACTTGGCAAGTCCCTCATTTCACTGGCATGCCGTTCCTTCACCGAGCATATCTGGAAAATAAGTTCACAGGCCATTTTACTCATTTGGTGGAAAAGTCTTCCTAACATTTTATTTAATGTATGATACTTTTGTTAACTTAACCATGAAGATGGAGTGTACACAATCTATCCTATGACTTAAATGAAAGAAATTAATTTGAATGACATATAGCGATCATTACTTACATTCTCCAACATTACTTTTCAGTGAAGTCTTATTCAAGGGCAAAGAAAGAAAGGAAACTACGAAATAGTTTTAACGTGTTTCCAATGACCTGTTCTCTGCAACTCTACTTAAGGACTAATTCTGTCACTGTTTGAATAAAGCTCTGGCAGGAGTACATAACCAAAAAAGCCCACTGCTAATCTGAGCTATGTTCCCATTAGACCTTGTGTTTCTGATTACATATTAGCCATCTATTTCATGGTTATTTTATTAAATAACACTTTGCAAAAGTGGCACATGCTCTTTTCATCTTGAATACATTAAAAGCAATGTATTACATAATTTAAATCAGGGGTTGGCAATTACAGCCTGGCTCCTAGC